CTCCCTTCTATACTCCTCCCCCCCAGCCATGTGACAGGAAATGCCCGGTCACCCTCAGAGAAGGCATCACCTGTAGCCTATCACAGTGGAGTCTGTGCCCTCTATCTTGTGACACAAGATCTTACGATCTGCCAATAGCCAGCCCCTCCCCTGTCATTCATCCGGAAGGTCGGGACAGGGGCTGGTTTTTCAAGATCTGGGGGCTGAGCCAAGGGATAACGTCTAGCTGCTGTTTCTAGTTTCCCTCCGCTCTCTCTGCCCCAGCACTCCTGCTAATGGTAGAAGCCCTCACAGCGGCCTCATCACTGCTGGAACATGGTATCTTTGTGGCTCGACTCTAGCTCTGTTCAGCCGTTATGCATTGGTGGCTTTTGCAGGTTTCTGGCCATGTCGGCCTAACCTTGTGAGTATTTTTATGCCAACTTGAGGGCAGAGCTAGACTGAATTCTAGTGCCCTGAGCTCCCCACACTCCTTCCCGGGAGGCAAGATGGGCTGTTAACGATGGATACAATTCACAGCAAGTGCGAGAGAGAGGACACGGCCCTCTAGGAGAGCTGTAGTAGCAAGCACACAAACGGAGAAAGTCCGGGGAGCGACACAGAGGGGAAATGCAGCTCTCTCTGCCTGGCAGGGGGGCCGGAGGGGCAGATGGAAGAGAGAGAGAGACGTTTAGTACTGGTGATTAAACAGAAACGGTTTGTCGGGGACGCGCTTCTATAATTGTGCGAATATTTGCCCAAGAAAACTCATCGAAAATCAGGGGGAGCATCATCCTTCTTCCCCTCTCTTCTGGGAGTCTGACCCCTCAGCTGGGTGAGGCAGGAGCGTTTCGAGGGCACACGTGGCTGCCGTGGGCTGAAGCCCATTGATTCGCAAGGGGAGCCTGCCTACAGTGGCAGTGAATGGCAGCTGGGTGCCTAACAGCCATTGGTGCCTTGGAAAACCTTCTGACCCTCTCTCTCCTGCCCCATTGCCCAATGGAAGGGGAACGGGTGTCTCCACGGCGGCGGAGCTGCATGGTACCTCGCACCTTGGACATGCTCCACTTACAAATGCCCAAGCATGGGGGCGGACACTCTGCCAGGCTGGGGTGGTGTCCTGAAAAACCTACAGATATCCTCGCTAGGCAGCTCTCAGCCCCATGGCGTTGGAGCACCCACATCGTGTGATGGAGCTCTGTCCCATAGCTCAGACACGCTCCGTCTGAGCGCCACATCAGGTGACTGTCTGGCTGGAGATCCAGCCTTCCTAACCGAGGCATGTTCCTAGCTTTCCTGACCGCACAGACCGGACACCATTGCTGGGAATAGCATCCGGTCCATCCAGTCAGGAACGTTGGCAGTGCTACCTTCCATCTCCCCCCAGGCCGGCTTGCTCTTGGGGGCATCGCACTGCTTCTCCATCCAAACCTCCATCTGCTCCATCCAACAGCCAGAAACACAGTGTGGTGGGAAGGGCCTGTGATGCCCACTCACAGCCTGGACTGCAGGACGGGCTCTGTCTCCTAGCATCGGTCAAGGCTACTGTGCTGCTGGCAGTGCTATCCATGGACAGAACCTGGGACCTGCGGGCATCACTGAGGATCTGGCCTTTGACCGAGATACCTCCCATGACAACGCTATACACTTGATTTCAACATCTGTATCGCCGCCCGTCCCCACTTGACAGTACACCCTGCTCTTTTGCCCATCTCCAGCCCCACCTCGCGCCAGTACCTGTACTGGATCGGACCATCTCTGTCCCGACAACATGGCCCAGGAGGTCGTATTGATTCAGGCGAGAGCCTCCTTTGGCCACTTCCACCGATTTATCCTTTCCCAGCGTCCACGTGTAGATCACCTCCGTCTTCGTGTAGGCGTCTGCGGAAGAGGCAGAGACAGAGGCAGAGGAAAAGGAAGAGGGAGAGAAAGAGGAAGGAGCAGAAGGAGAGGCAGAGGAAGAAGAGGAGGAAGGGGATCATGCGTGAGAGCAGCCCAAAATGAAGCAAAGATTTGGGGCCACATCTTCAGGGGAGCCACAGTGACTCCTATGGCCAGTGATGTCTGACCCCCAATTATAGAACCAAAGTCAGGGCTGCAGATGGCTGCCTGCCTCGTGCCTGGAGTTTAGCGAGGGGTCTGAGGACAACGCAACATCTTACGGGCCTCCTTCATAGTGGCTGGTCCCTTCTGAACACACTGGGCCGTGGAGAGTTCGGTGCTGCTCTCCGCTACTCACAGATATCGGCCTGGCTGAGTCACAAGCAGAAACTGGCTCTGAAGAGGTGAGTTTCCCAGAACAAGGGATGCTAATCTGAGTGGGACTTGGCTCCTAACCCCCTCCGTGCTTTTGAAAATCCTTCCCTTTACTAAACGGGCCGTACGCCTGGCATGGACTGTCCTCTCCAAGGGAGCTTCCTCCCTCTCCTCAGCCCTCAGCCTTCTTTCCATGCAGTGATCATGTCTACCACAGAAACCTGCTGGACTGATGGCCACGAGAGATTTTTAACTCTTCCCCGTTCTATAGGGTTCCCCTACAAGAGCCAAGGCGAGCGGGATAGTTTTCTGCAGGATCGCTGCAGAAGCTCGCTGGGACCTTGTGCGATGAAACGTAAATGATTGGCCTTCTCAAACCAGAAAATGCCATGATTGCATTCTCGCCTTTGGCAAAGCCTGCTAAGCATTAAGGAATAAAGGCTGATTTTGATGAATGGGCTACGTCTCTCTGCGCGTAACTGTGCTGCGTAAGCATTTCCAGTGCAGCTCGGCTAATGCATCTTCAACCCGACCGGCAGAGGGCTGCTCCTGCCCTCCTCCCACCTCTGCCAGGGCACCTGCATCCTGCCCTATAACACTCCCTTTTATTCCAGCCCTGAGTCCCCACAGGCATACACCTTAATCAGACTAGAAAGCCTCCTGTTACTTCAACATGAGGCATTCACCTCCCCCATGTTATCTGCATGCAAATAAGGCTGCCAACTCTCTAACAGCCGTCCTCTGGGGTGAAGGCATTCCTCGTGTCATGTGTCGGTGGCACGGGTGTTTTGGACCCACTTACAGCCTGAAGAGATTTCTGCTCTCTTGAATGGTTTGTTTGCACAATGTGGAGCAGCCCGGTCCAAATCAGGACAGCTGGCAGCACAATTTCTGGGGCACAATTCCTGCACTCTGGACATAGCCAGGCATAGCCGTCTGACTGTTTTGTGATGTGCGTGGCCATGGCATGCCAGGTGTTGGCTCACGCCCCGTGTCCATGGCACATGGCTAAACAAAAGGCTGAAATCAGCCTGGCTCGCCTGTGGGCCGGTGTTGTCAACCCGGGGGTTAGCATGACAAGACGGTGTTTAGTATTTAGACTTTATTGAATGCTTGTAGGTTGCTGTAGGTATGAGTCTCATTGACAGCCTCCATTTCCCCAGATCGTAGAGCAAAACACGAGTCCATAGGGTGCGCCTCTGGGACTGTGAATCACCAGGCAAGAGAGAGGCATTAATCCATGGGAAATGCAGGTCTCCAACAAGAAAGCGATATGTCCTGCCCAACAGGGAAAGTCCATGGACCCCACATGAGCTACTGTGGAACATGAAGATGTTTCGGTAACCCTTCCCTCTGTGAAGATGAGTCATGCAAGTGGATTCCTCCTGGTTAGCTGCCTTTGTCACTCACAACACAAATTAAGAAGGGAATTAAAAAAACCGCTAGCAAAAACAATGAGGAGTCCCGTGGCTTCTTAAAGGCTAACGGATTTATTTGGGCACAAGCTTTTGTGGGCAAAAACCCACTTCATCATGGCCAGAAGGCCTGTCATGAATTAGGTTTGGCCCACAAAAGCTGATGCCCAAAGAAATCGGTGAGTCTTTAAGGAGCCACTGGACTCCTCGTTTTTGTGGCTCACACTACAACAGCTGCCGCTCTGACATGAAGAAGGAACAGGAACTCTGTGGTGCTAGGACTCGTGGGGGAAAGGGTTGCTAGGAATAAGCTAGAGATCCCCACTGTTTAGCCTGGGTTATCCCTACAGGTTACAAAAAGACTACTCGTTATAGAAGCTTCTCTTAGGGTGTGTCTATACTACAGGCTTTTGTCGACAAAAGTGGACTTTTGTCGACAAAACTATACCTGCTCTACACTACTGCCAAGTTCTGTCGCCATAACGTTGACAGAACTCGGCAGTTTTGTCGATGGTAGTAAACCTCATTCTACAAGGAATAATGCCTTTTGTCGACAGAGTTCTGTCGACAGAAGGCGTGCTTGCATCGACACTGTGCTTTTTCAAAAGAGAGCGTCTGGACTCTCTGTTGAAAAAGTGGCTTGCTTTGTCGACAGAACTGGCTGTTGTCTAGACGCTCTGTGTTGACAGAAGCTTTGTTGACAGTATCTGTTGACAAAGCGTCTGTCGACAAAAGCCTATAGTCTAGACGTACCCTTACTTATTGAAATTGAAGAGTGTAGCTCATTTTAGTGTATGGCTGCGTCTAGACTGGCAAGTTTTTCTGCAAAATCAGTCGCTTTTGCGGAAAAACTTTCCAGCTGTCTACACTGGCCGCTTGATTTTGCGCAAGAACACTGATGATCTAATGTAAGATTTTAACAAATCTTGCGCAAATACTATGCTGCTCCTGTTTGGGAAAAAGCCCTTTTGTGCAAATGTATTTGCGCAAGAGGGCCAGTGTAGACAGCTCAGGACTGTTTTGTGCAAAAAAGCCCCGATGGCGAAAATGGCGATCGGGGCTTTCTTGCGCAAAACTGCGTCTAGATTGGCACGGACGCTTTTCCGCAAAAAGTGCTTTTGCGCAAAAGCATCCGTGCCAATCTAGACGCTCTTTTCCGCAAATGCTTTTAACTGAAAAACTTTTCCGTTATGTTTAGCAGCTTTAACCTTGTGAATAATTCTTTTGTTTCTTTTCCTGTTTAATAAAGCTTTACACAGAGGTGTGTGCGTGTGTGTGTGTGTGTCTAGACTACAGGGTTTTGTCAACAAAAGTGTACTTTTGTTGACAAAACTAAACCTGCGTCTACACTACCGCTGAGTTCTGTCGACATAACGTCGACAGAACTCATCAGTTTTGTCGACGCTGGTCCTCATTTTACGAGGAATAACGCCTTCTGTTGACAGAGTTCTGTCGACAGAAGGCGTTATTGCATCTAAACTGTCCTTTGCGTCTACACTGCCATGTCGACAAAGCAGCTTGCTTTGTCGACAGAACTGAATGTAGTCTAGATGATCTTTGTCGACAGAAGCTTTGTCGACAGTATCCGTCGACAAAACTTCTGTCGACAAAAGCCTGTAGTCTAGATGTACCCTGTGTGTGTGTGTATGTGTGTGTTGGGGAGAGGGACAAGTTTTCAAACTTCCACACAGCAGGTTCTGGGAAACTTACTCAGAGAACCTTCTACTGCATGCCAAGTAAGCCTCTCCTACTTGAAGATTTCTGGGTAAACTTGCAAGCTCATCTCTCTTGGTCCTACAAGAGGTGTCACCTCGCACACCTTGCCTCACATTCTGGGACTGACACTGCTTCTGCAACGCTGCACACAACAGATCTGTAGCTGCTTTATCTGAGGATGGGCTAGGAGTCAGGTTGCGGTTTTATCGTGGTTATTTTTAGTAGAAGTCAGGGACAGATCATGGGCACTAAACCAAAATTCACAGAAGCCTGTCACCTGGTCCTGGCTTTTTCTAATAATAACTGTGACAAAATGAGCGCACAAGCCCAGCTGCGGAAGGGGAGGTGGGGAGTCTAGCACCTGCCACCGCTGCGGCTGACAGTCCTGGGATCCTTGCCCATATCTTTGGCAGCTGAGGGCTGTAGCACTCACAACCAGTCTGAGGCTTGTGGCCTGGTTTGTGCCCTGATGCACCCAGCTGGCCAGGGTCCTCAGAAGCCTGAGGTGCATTCCGCTGAGTCACTGAGGACGTGACTGGTGAACGAAAGCCCTCAAAACCTCAGCTCTGACCCAGCCTCGCCTCCTCACAGCTACGCAGTGACCAGCTCCCTGCTGGTGGGCACCGTACAGATGCCATGGCCAGTTGTACAAGCTTGGCTCCTCGTTTCAACACTCCCGTCATATTAAAAAGATTAACCCCCCCAAATGACACCCTGGGGACCTGCCACACACATGCGTGAGAGACTCCTTCCTTCCTCCGCGCTCTCCCTCTGGGCCTGCCTGGGAGCTGAGATGGAGGGCGGATTGAGGGGCTGCTAATGTAGGAGCAGATGCCAAAGGAGCTACTCTTGCCCCAGAGCAAGCTGCCCCTTCCTTCGAGTCTCTCCTCTCCCGGCGGGTCCATCCCTAAGAGTGTGTCTAGACCACAGGGTTTTGTTGACAAAAGTGGACTTCTGTCGACAAAACTATACCTGCGTCTACACTACCGCTGTGTTCCGTCGACAGTAAGTGGCGGTTTTGTCGACAGCGGTAAACCTCATTCTACGAGGAATAACGCCTTTTGTCGGCAGAGTTCCGGTGACAAAAGGTGCTATTGCATCCACACTGCGCTTTTTCAAAAGAGAGTGTCTAGACTCTATCGAAAAAGCGGCTTGCTTTGTCGACAGAACAGGCGGTAGTTTAGATGCTCTGTGTCGACAAAAACCTGTAGACTAGACGTACCCTAAATGTCTAACGGAACAGACTTGTGGTGCCTCCTCCTGGCAGCCACAGATGTTATAATGGACCAAAGAAACAGGCCACTCACACCATGGCCCGTCTGTAAAACAAAGCCCTTCTGTGGGCAATTCTAAGAGTAAACATTTCCCCCACTAACGTTACCAGCAGCTGGCTATACATAGACCCCCACGGCACAGCCCTGCTGTGGCTAATGATGCCGGTTTCCACCCAGAGAGAGGGACGGTTGGGTTGTCTGTCCTAAACAATGGGACCCGTTCCTCCAAGGGGGTGATAGCCCCTAAGACAAGGTGCACTCCCTCCCCACAGAGCATCAGATCCAGAGGGGAGGAAACAGAAGGGGAGCTGTACATTTTCAAGCATCTAATGGGCTTAGACACTACTGTGGTCTAAGAGTCCAGCAGGCTCCTGGCTGTTCTGGATTGTGAAGACGAGGACTTTAACAGGGTTCAAAAAAGAAATTCATGGAGGTTCGGACCATCGATGGCTGTTAGCCAGGATGGGCAGGGATGGTGCCCCTGGCTTCTGTGTGTCTGGAAATGGGTGACGGGGAGGGATCACGTGGGGATTACTTGTGTTCCCTCCCCTGGGACACCTGGCATTAGCTGCTGTGGGCAGACAGGACACTGAGCTGGATGGGCCTTTGGTCTGACCCACTCTGGCCGTTCTTATGTTCTTATGGATTTGGCAGTCTGTCTAGACCTCAATTCACTGCCACCCTCCAGAGTCCAATCCAGGAACTCTTTCTGGATCCATGCAGCAACGCAACAGGCCAGCGGAAAGGACACCAGTGCTTGCTGGCACGGATCACGGGCCCTTTGAAGTGTCCCCAAAAAGATCTGACTGAAGAGCCATGAAAAAAGTCCTGGGATTCGGCCTTCCCTGTCGGCCAGAGTCTGTACTCAACCCTGTTTGGACAGCGCGTGGCAGATCAGGGGGGGAGGGTCTCCTCCACATGTGGGAAGTCAAAGACTCGCCAAACTGGGCCTGTGGTCAGGCACTCCCACATGATGGAGAACTGCCCCATTCATGCTTACAGGAAATGCACTGCAGCCACGTGAGAATGGCTTTTGGACCTCCAGAGCCTGGTACAATCCCAGCCCGCAGCGATACAAATGCCAGACGAAGGAAGTGCGCAAAAGACCTGGTCTGAATTGCTCATTAAACCCAGAAGGGTCACCAGCCATCAAATGTCTGTGTGTCCCACCAGAGAATCAGACTCAACATCCCGCTCCCTGCTGGACTGACAGCCCCTTCGCCCTGCCAGGATGTGCCACTCCCCTCTGTCCCCAGGGAGCGTGGCTGCCAGCGGGAACGGATGCCAAGAAAAAGAAGGTGATGCCGCAAGTGAGGAGAAACCAGCCTGTGAGGCAAAGGGCATGTCCAGCCACTGCCTGTCCACCCTGCTCTCCACAGCATCCCCCTGCTAGGTTATTATAGGGAGCACCTGGCAAGTGTGCGGCTGTTGTATGATTAATGTGAATGCCATGTAAGACCCGCTCGAAAGGCTCCATGTAACAAACACGCTACCCGCCGGCAAAACCGAACCGTCCGCCCCCCATAGGAAGGCAGAACGAGGCACTTACAGCTCCCAAATTTCAGCGGGCAGGCATGCACGTCCATCGGGAAGTCCTCCAGGTGCATGGGGCACTCAGCGTGAATGGTTAACCTACGAGACAAACACAGGCCATCACTGGAGACACGCGTCTGCCGGGACTCCAGCGGGGAGCTGCTGCCGAGGCAGCTTGTCCTACATCCACCAACGCTTGCCACCCGAGAGCGCGCTGGCCCTAGGCAGATCTCCTGGGGACCAGGCCTCGGGGAGGGCGCTGCGGGATTGCACATTCAGACTGCGTTTACACTTCACAGTTTTTGCGCAAAAACGGCTGGTTTTGTGCAAAAGCTCACAGACCGTCCAGACCTCAAGCGCATTTGTACGCAAGAAAACATACAGTGAATCGACAGAACGGAGGGGGTTTTGCGGTGTAGGTATTTCTCTTTCTACGAGGAATAACTCCTTTTTGCGCAAGAGTCATTGCACAAGTGCCCTGGTGGCCCGTCTGTGACTGGCAATCAGAGCTTTCTTGCGAGAGATCCTCCATGCAGTCTGGACGCTCTCTTGTGCAAAAGCACATCACTTTCCTGATGCACTTTTGCAGTGTGGACACGCTCTTGTGCAAGAAGTTTTTTGTGCAAGATCTCTTCTGCTAAAAGCTTCTTGCACAAGAAAACTGCCGTGTAGACGTAGCCTCAGAGTCTCCCTAGATTACTAGGGGTTAGACAAAGCAGCAAAGCACTTCCGAGAGTTACGAACCTGGGCATAACTCTCCCTTGCCTTCCTGGCAGGCAGGACCACATGCAGCTGGGTGCAATGTACGGTGCTAAGCATGCTGCCCAGAAGGACTGGCTGATGAAATAGGTGTGACTTTGGGCCACTTCTTTTTACTCAGTTATGCCCCCCTCTAGAGGAGGCAGAGGTACAGACTCTGCACTCTGGGAAGGGCAGGGCCTGAGGTGGTGCCTTGCTGCTGTGCAGAGGAGAGGATTGTGTGTCAGGGCCACCATGAGCAAGCACACGCATCCTCGTGCATCTGTGGAGCGGCAGGACATCACTTCACCTTGATGTTAACATGCAGCTGATTCCAGGGCAGGGCACAGCACCAGTGACACTGCAATACCTGGAGCGCACCTGGTGGGGACTGATAATAAAAGGCTTGAAAGTGTTTCCATGCAGCCAGGAAGCGTATGCTCCTTCTTGAAATGGCAGGGAAAGGCTGCGGCGTTTTACCATACGCAGCAGGAGTCAGGCTAGAAGGGGACTTTGGAGACACCAAATCTGAACGCGGTGGAGAATTCAAATGGCCAAGAAAGGTTTTTATGGCTTTGCTAGAGGAGGAGGAGGATGGACCCTGCAGGTCACGATGCTAGACCGAGACTGAAGTCGTCTTACGAAGAACCTAGATCACAAGGAGCTAAAAATTCTCCATTGAAATTGGATCGCCCCCCGCCCACCTCCTGCAATTAAACCCCTGATATGTTGTTATGTTTTAGATCCCCAAAGGCTAAAAAATTAGTTTGGGAGTTGTACAGAACAACCCAAAATTTTTTAAAAACCCCTTTGGATGTAAATTTTAAAAATCTGATTTTTATGGACATAGTTTGTGGGGCAAAAGCATAAACCTTTCTCAGGCAGCTCTGCAGGTCCTTGTTCTCAGGCAAGACAAAACCAATGCCCTTGGGAACCAGCAGATGCAGGGATATGGATCTACTGAGCTGGACACAAGTGATCCAGCTGTGGCATGATAGTCCCTCGATCCTCACGGAAGTCCCTGGGATAGGGTGACCAGGTATTCTAGGAACAGTCCCAATATTCAGTCTTTGTCTTATAAAAGGGCCAATTTCCCTCCCACCCCCACATCCTGATGCTTCACATGTACCATCTGGGCACCCTACACTGGGACTGCACGGAGCGTATGCTTGTGCAACGTTGTGGTGAGTCAGCAGATGGAGCTGCTGCCGGCCGAACTCCCAGGTCTGTCTGACTGCACATAAAGGCGGATGGCTCTTGCAGAAATGCTTCTTGTCAGCTACCTGTTCACGGAGCAAACGCTGCTAGAAACTTGCCCTGATGCAACCTGCTGCTGCGTTCGGCCTGCTGCCGGGTTAGTGAATGAATCTTGGAACTGGGACCCACTCCCAGGTCCAGGTGGCTGGTGGCTTCAGAGCGTGTGTGTCTGGTCCATCAGGACACTAGAAGAGCACCACATTCTCTCAGCTGGCCTGGCGAAATGACTCCCTGCTTCTGCCGCTCCTCTGATTGGCTTTTACAGGTTCTTGCAAGGTCCAAGAGAAGGGTAAGTCTGCCACTTTGCACCACCTGCCTTTGTGCAAACCACGCCTGAATGCAATGCAGATTTCTGTTTTCCATGTAATTGCACCCACGGGGACTACCAGGCTGTGCAGAGCTGCCCTTCTCACTTTCTATTCTACTCCCACCCCCCACGCTGGAGAGGAAGGGGTAAGAACAGGGACTGGTGGGGAAGGGCCGTGGCTAGAGGCCAGAGCACACAGGGCACACAATCCCTGCAGAGTTGCTGCCAGCTGGACTAGGAATGGTACAGATAGGGTTGCCAGATGGTTTAACCAAAAATACTGAACTCCCCTCCCTCCCCCCCCCCCCCCCCACAAAAACAAACACACACTCCGAGGCCAAAGTTGTTAAGCAAAAAAAAAGGGGGGGCTGCGCCTTTAAATGGCCCCATGCTCCTCACTCCCCTGCCCTCGCCAGATGCGGCAGGGGAAAATTGTCCCCGCTGGGCTTCAGTTCGAGGGAAACAGGAAATACCAGACATTTTACATGTCCGGTATTTTCTGGTCTTTTTACCAGACGGGGGATGTGAATACTGGACTGTCCGGGTGATTACCGGACACCTGGCAACCCTAGGTGCAGATCAGCCGGGAGAAACCACTCTGCTTGCAGGGTAGGTCACAGCGCAGGAGAAATGCTGGGCCTTGTCAGGCCAGTGACTACGAAGTGTAATTTCCATCTGTGTCCGTGGCCTCCCAACGTCCCTCTCATCTCCCCCGCAGTGACCCAGAACTACGCCCCTTTCTCTTCTCATAGCAGGAGTGTTTCTTCACTCGTGCATTTCTTCTGCAGCGACAGATACCTGCCTGCTTCTATGACCCAACTTCCATTGCTGATACGCATCCCGTGAGGAGCAGGGGAGACTTGGTTTGGTGCCCGCCATGCAGCTGTGAGCAGGGCTAGAAAACACCAGCCCTCGCACAAGGGGCAGGCCTAGTGCTTGTCATGGCTGTGGCACACTTACTGGGCGGCAGGCAGAGGTACCCGTCGGTGCCTGATCCGAACCTCACAGACGTTCATGGAAATACTCCGGTGGGCTTTGGTTCGGGTCTGCCGTTCGCACACAGCTTCCTTTGGCGGGTTCACACACAAGCTGCTCCTTCCAAGATCCAGTCCTGTCTCCCTTCTAACTGTGTGATCCCAAATACAAAAGGCAGACAGGCTCCCACGCTGACTGAAGGAAGAGCCAGAAAATCACATACACCGGCTACTTCTCTTGGGTTTCTGAAAGGAAACATCTCTCTCTCTCTTTCTCTGCGACAAATTTGTGTGGGGAATTTAGTATTTTGTTAGCATTCTGCCAACTCCTCACAGTTATTACCACATAAGTCTTTCTGGGACGCAAATGTGTCTTCTCCAGCTAGAAGAGATTTTTTTTTTCTTGTGACACTTTCAGTGTGCTTGGCAAAAAAATACTTTGGTGCACAAAATTCAGCATCCTCACTGTTTTCATTCACATGGAAACTGTTCTTTTTACCAGCCAGGCCTCTTTTACCCTTTCATTGAGCCTGCATCTCCGTTCCAGAGCCTTCCTGCATCACTGATGACATGACTGTTTCAAACCCACCTCGGCAAGTTGATTCCAAACTCACCCCACCCACAGGACACACATTTCTCATTAGTGTTTTTCTAATAAGACCAAACTGGCCTTGTTAATTGACTACGCTGGGCTCAATTCTCAACCACCCTCAGTTTGCACTGGGAGTGGCTGAGTCAGGCAGGGTACAAAGATGCTGGGTAAGGATGCCAGATCTTGGGGCCACTGCCAGGACGGTCCTACTGTACCATGCTAGTGTTATTAGCAACGGCAATATCCACCTTGCCCCGGGCCTCAGACTCATCGTAGGTCAGAGCAATCTGTCTTTTTGACGAGGGCATGAAGGATCCAGCACAGAACACTCCACTTCTGTAGGTGGAACGAGTCTTGTATGTCCCTTGGCACGTTCGATCTGCTTGACCTTGTCTGCATCTGTCGGTGCGTATCATCACAGATGTTTGCACGCCTCGGGGCATTCATGTAGTCCTGCCCATGCCAGAATGCCCGGAGAGGCTGCCCTGGTCACCTCACGTGAAATTGCAGCTGGGGAGGTGAGGGGGAAGGATGGAATTTCAAACTCCAAGAGAATTTTACTAGCTGATCCCAAACCTACAGGAGTCCACCTCCATCACCGCAACCAATAGCTTCTGCCCACCCTGTAAATCGCGGAATTTACGGGAGGCCCTGAAATTACACAGAAAATAAACTTGGAGGTCTTGAAAAACGATGAGAAATGACATGGTTGAAACGTTCAGGCAAAATTTCACATGAAACTTTTCAGCTATTCCCACCAGCCGAAAAGTTAGTCTCTCACACAGCCTTTTCGCCCTTTGAACTCTCTTCCTCTCACCTGCAGGGATACATGCATGCTCTCTCTCGTGCACACACTCGCCTGTTCTCACACATGTGTGTTCTCACGTGGAAATGCATGTGCTTTCACACACACTTCCTCTCAGTGTCACATGCACGCTCTCAACACACCCGCCCACTTTACCCCACCATGTACACACACTTTTGTGTCTTTCACGCACATAATCTCTCTCACATAACACTTCCTTTCTCTTGCACACACGTGTGCATGCTTTCTCTTGCACATGTGTGCATGCTTTCTCTTGGCCATGTGATCGCTCACTCTCACACCCCAGCAGGCTTGCTTTCTCGTTTTCTGTGCACTAATTAGCTAAAATATTGATGTGGGCTTTGAATCAATCACAGCTGAGGGATGGAGGCATC